CATCACTATAATCAGATTATCGCATCACTAAAACAAATCATCTATCATTCATTTCTTTACTGCGAAAAAAATATTTATTCAGCATACAATTACGAAAACACATTATTTTCACCTAACCAACGTCCCATTTCAATTATCTTTTTCGCTACAATTCTGATCAAATTACTTCTCGCAAAAGTTCATTATTTTCTAATTCAATTCATCAATTCACAATAATCGATTTCCATCGAAACACTTCCCTTCCCTTTTTGCAATCAATAACTAGAATTGCCATGTACTATGTGCATAAGCATTAAAATCTCTTCGTCAGTGCTATGTGAAGTGATATCCCATTAGAGGTGATGATGATAGATGATAAGAAGTGCTGTCTGTTGATTATTGTACCATACTAATGAAATTCAGCAACATTCAATCAATCTGTTGAAATTGCGTTACTGAATCAATGATGCACGATAAACGCAGGCAGTAGATATGTGGGAATCGAAAGGAAATCATCAATCGGTAACAGAAGAGAAATGGGATTTACAGAAGATTAGGTTGATTGTGAGCAGATGATGATGTAAGATTTCGTATAAATTGGTAATTAAGAATGAATGATGGCGAATTCTTTTCGTATTGAAGTAAATATGAAAAGCGATCAATTGATATGTTGCATTTAGGTGTGTTTGGTGCGCATACGAAATGATTAATTACAGTCAGCCACTAATTAGATTCGTTCAGATTATGCATCATCCCATACATTATACGTACATAATTGTTACAGGTTTCACGCTGCCTAGGTTCATCACATATTCACATGTATGTATGTATATACGTATATTGTTGCATTATTCATTCATGNTATGCTGAATTGGAATGAGGATTCCACTCGAAATAGATGAAGATGTGATCTGTTTGCTGATAGCATCATTATCATTTCACTTGATAACTACCTCAAAAATATGTAACTGTTCAACTATCACTGAACAGAGCATTCATAGATAATCATTATTTTTTGGCCGGATCGGTTTCACTCAAGTTGAGTAGAAGACAATCGAAATCTTGAATATCTGCATTAAAATTTGTGAGTGACAACAGCGCTTACAAGGTAACAACTATCAAAGATCTCTCATTCAATTGAAAATCCACAGTGGTTCAGTGGTAATCCAAACAAAAGTCGTTCAGTTGACTTGTCAATATTAACAGATTGCTTTTTGCTCATTATGAGAATTTTTTCGGCTCATTTCAGCCTGCGCTCATAAAAGTTAACGATTACTATGGGCAAACTGGACGCATAGTCAAATGAACAGACGGACGGACGGGAAAGTTGGGTTAAAAAATTGAAGCAAAAAACATTAGAAAGAGAAATACGACAGATCACTTCAGAGAGAACCAGTCGTTGATTAATGTTAACAGAGATTTATGAGGCGAATCTGACGCAAAATTAATGTTTACACAAGACAACAGGGATACATCTCCTCAATATGGATGAATCTCGTCGAAACGCAAAAAAAGTAGCTAAATGGCTCAGTTTGTGAACAGATTAAAGCTTAGAAAGAACTTAAACACACTGAGGTAATACTCAAAACGTTTATTTATCGAAACAATCGAACTCCCAGAATATCATTTCAGATAACTTTTTTAAGAATAAAATCTGCTGAAGTCTCCTTTTACGGAATGGAATCTTCAAATTTCCTTTATGAAATCGCATCTGGTGGCTAATTTTCGATTAATGAATAATCATTCATTTGTAACGTTTCTCAACATTTCATCCTTTTGAAATATTAGAATAATATCAGGCAATCAATTCAAAACTGAACTATAGACATTTAAAAACTGCAAACAAATGCTCCAAATAAGAGGATAAACTGGTATTTGTGCATTTGAAGAAGGCATTTCAATTGAGGTGAACAGTGAAAAATTCTGCACTCGATTAAGAATCTCCAATTTTTTTTGTGAGGAATAAGCATACGCAACAACGAACCTGTCCAGCCGTATCGCACAGCTGCAATCGTATCGGTTGATTGTCGACTCTGACAAGAACTGAAACAAACAAACAGTTGTTTAGCGATTACCACAAACGATTATTGCATTTGATGATCCGAACAATTTTTAACAATGACTGAATTATTCAGCAGGGCAATTTTCACGGAATACAATTTATTTGCTAAGGTCATCTCAGCCGTATTCCAAAAACTCCGTCGTTCATTTTGGAGTTGTTAAAGCCA